GGTAAAATAATCCATGTGACATCAGGGGTTCAACCGTAATTTTACAAAGCTATGAGAATACTTTTTGTGCTTAAAAGGAAAAAAAAAACGACGCGGATATGCGGTTTACGTCGTTTACACTTTGATTTGAACGAAAACAACGTATCCGCGTGGCACAGCTGACACAAAAAAGCATACGCAATTTACATTCAGTGGATACTCTCCAAAATGGCACTAGCGTGACGCAGAGGAGACGAATTGTTGAATAAAGTATTTTTGTTTTCTTTTGCACACAAAAAGTATTCTCGTAGCTTTGTAAAATTACGGTTGAACCCCTGATGTCACATGGATTATTTTACCGATGTCCTTGCTATGTTTCTGGGCCTTGATCGTGTAAGGATCCTTGCTGTCTATGGGAGGGTCAGAGAGCTCTTAGAATTCATCAAAAATATCTTAATTTGTGTTCCGAAGATGAACGGAGGTCTTACGGGTTTGGAACAACATGAGGGTGAGTAATTAATGACAAAATTTTCATTTTTGGGTGAACTATCCCTTTAAGCATAATCATAGTAATAAAGCGCTTGTCTACTGATTTATTGTGGACTTGTGGGTATTGGCTTGTTCTTCGAGAGCATGTCCCTGCGGCATCAGACCCCGGGCCAGACCTGAGGTTGTTCAGGAGACAGCCTGCCAGCATCCAACCTCTGGCTTCTTAAATAAATAAAAAATAAATAAATAAAACTGTAAAATGACAAACTTCAGTGATTTCCTCAAATCAGGTTTGGTTTTGAATAATGCAAAAGTACCTTCCAGATGGTGGGCAACAATAAAATATTTATCTTCCATACATAAACTTTCCGTAGTGCTGGTAGGTGTAAACATGGTCATCTCGTTAGAGTTCATGTTTGGTATCAGTGTGCGAGGGAGGTTTCCCATGATGCTTTACCAACCAAGTCAAATGTGTCCTTTTAAAACAAATTAGGACTTGCATGTCATATGTACACATCATACGTATATTTGGACTGTCAACTTGATGCTCTATTCTCATCAATTATTTTAATTAGGGATGCACGATATATCGGCCACCATATTGGTATCGGACGATAAATGCTCATTTTTTCTGTTATCGGTATAGATTCCCCCTTCCATCACTGCTCCCACCCCTTCTCCTTTTTCACATTCATGCATTAAGAAGCACTATTACAGAGGCAGGGACTCCAAGAACACAATTAATACACAGGCTTGGCCCCTACTGCGCTGTTGAGACAAAATTGCTGTCATTTCCCTCTTTTCACTCCTTCTTGAACTGAACTTGTTCAATTGTATTTACTCGTACGGGTCTTTTCTTTGAGTTTCCTGAGAGTGGCTTCTCTCAAGCACAGGCCCCAGCCATCTTTAAATTGCAACAGCAGCCTCTCTACAAAACGTGGTAGTTGAGTGACCAAATTGTCAAGTGGCAAAATTAAATGTTATGCTCATCTAAAAATACAGAAAGGGTGGGTAAAAACACATTGGTTGTGTTAGACAGCTGGGCAGGAACTAGACAGGCTGGGATGACTTATATGCCTGTATGAAGAAACCCATCCATGGCACTGGAAAATATGAGTGGACCGTAGACAGCACCCTGAGGGACACCTTAACTCACCTGGAAGCCAGTGGAGTGCTGAGAAGGCCAAGAGGAGGAAGAGCAGATGTCCGGATGCTTTGTGGAACCACAGGAGAGGTGGCCATATCCTTCTTGGTAATGGAGATCTCTGCAGGGAGAAAATTAGAGATACCTGAAAGGATGTAATGCAAATTTCCAATTAAGGAGGTAACATAAAAGTGAGAGAGAGAGAGAGAATGAAGATATTTGTCTGCACTACTGTTTAAAAGTTTGGGGTTGCTCATCAAGGTTACATTTATTTGATACAATAAAATTATGAAATATTTCCACAATTTAAAATAACTTTTCTATTTTAATAAATTTAAAAAACAAATAATTTATTCCTGTGTTGGAATTTTCAACAGATATTACTCCAGTCTTAAGTTTTGCATGATCCTTGAGAAATCATTTTAATATGCTGATTTGGTGCTCAAGAAACATTTCTTGATGATGAAATCAGTTGGGCTGCTTATTATTTTTTTGATAACCATACATTTTTACATTTTTTTCAGGATATTGTGATGAATAGAAAGTTCAAAAGAACAGCATTTATTTTGAATAGAAATCTTTTGTAACATTATAAATGGATTTACTGTCAGTTTTAATCAATTTAATGCATTAATTTAATGCACTTTTTTAATTAAAAAACTTTTATTATTTACCAAATACACAAAATAATGTTCTTTTTAGCAACATCATATGACCCCTTTAACTAAAACATGCATTAAAAAAAAACTCACTAATGCTAATATTATTTAAACAAATGGTTTGTGCCAGGCTCTTACTTGCTGTACTGAAGGTATGACTGGCGGAGCTGCTGGTTCTGAAGCAAAAGTTTCTCTTCCTGTTGAGCCAACCGAGCTCGAATTCTCTCCCTCTCCATCTCCAGCTGTTTCTTCTGCAGGAGCAGACATCGTTGTTTCTCCTCCCAGTTCTCCCGACCAGGTGGTGGCGCTAGACCAGTTCGATTAGCACCACACACGCTGTCATTATCCATTCTGTGGCACTGATGAGAGAACTTGGGTTCAGAGACATTTTGGAAAAATAAATAAAACCACAACGTTTTGGAAAAGTCATGGAAATCTATTTCACAATTCTCTGTATAATAGAATTATGTTTAATCAGGTCCTGAATTTGGATGCAGGATTGCGCATATATTGCATTACTCATTCCCGCAGCTTTCGACTTTAAAATAAGGGAAATTGCTGTAAAACATTTATTCAATATAGCGTGTAGGTTAGATGAGTAAATAAATCCACACAAACCATGAGATCAAATCAGTCATTTGAAAACAGCGTGAGTGATTCAGCTGTACCGCGTCCTCTGTTTTTGACCTTCTCTTCACATCGGCGAATCTAGAGCTGCTGGCTGCTGCATGCTGCGATACAAGACTTTAGCTCGTGTTTCGGTACAGTTGACAATTGTCACTTGCCTAATCGGTCATTGTTGCATCGTCACAAAAATGTATTATTTTCATGTCTTTTTAAGCCATTCTGTACTGCAGAGGTGATATTCCTCGCGAGTATCCTCATAAGCCTTGTCGGTTTTGTCTTAAGTTAATGTAAACAGTTGCGAAAGAAAACGCATGTGTATCAGTATTGGATCCATGAAATAGGTCTTGTGGCAGCAGCAGCCTAATAAAGCTGTGCCGTCTGTCATTAATGTTAATCAAACAACAAAAGACAGAGAAAATCCCTCACTGCTCTTGACTAAATGTATTGTTGAATAACTTTAATATTTTAATTTACAGTTTATTCAATTTCTATAGCCTATTTAAAACACGTTCATATTTTAGAAAATGTAGCTAATATTTGCATCATTAATGATTTATCTTGTCCACCTGCAACCCACCCGCAAATAATCAGTATGCATTTTTTTTATTACCTAACCCACCCGACCCGCGGATTATCCGCAGCGCCCGCGGATATAACCGCCATCCGCGCATCACTAATACACATCACCTCTGACCATTTAATAATGTGGCCACAAAGGCAGGTTTTACTCAAGGGAGAGGACGCAACAACCCAAGGTCAATCACCAAAGAGATAAACATTCAGGACAAAGGAGAATTGTCCGCCTCTAAGGGAACAGAAATGGGCCGCTGACTAATTCAAGAGGAGGTCATGGAGCATGTAAACATACATTACTCACAGCCAAGGTTTCAGAGAGGACAAGCTCATTTCCCTTATACAAGATTAAGATGGAGGGTGCACAGTCTAAACTCAAACAACACACCATTTTTTTTAGTGTCGGTTAGTGAGTTTTCTTGTTTTGTTTTAGCTTTAATATTTTTAGTGACACTGCTTTGAAGGGGATGAATTTACAGATGGAACTTCTCTGAGAGGGTTTTAGTGTGCTGACAGGTTAACAGCTACAGATGCTAAGGTGTCAGCATGCCAAAACCCCTCTCTGAGAGGCTGCTTCTCTAAATCCATCCCCGTTAAAAGCATCACCGCTAGAGCCATCAAAACAGCGCTTCTGTAACAAATTCACCTTCAACACATTTTAAGGCAATTACTGTTGGACTTCAAACCACTTGCTGTGAGCAACGAACCGTTATTATGAATAATCCAGAGATCTATGATAGTTTTGAGCAATAAAAGAAGGCAGATATTTAGGCTTTTTATTTGTTGAATATCTGATCGTTACTCTGTTCAGAAAGGATGGGTCACTGGTTGGCATGAAAGATTTGCATGAAAGATCTGTGGTGTAGGCAGCATCACTGATTAGGAGTTCTATAGTATTTTGTCGCACCGCGCCACTTGCGTCCGGTGTAGACACGGTGTAACATTGGTTTTGCTTTGTTTCACAGAACTAATCGTTGCCTGGGTTGCGTACGTATGTGCGGGGCGGAGCTATCAAAATAGGGGCGAGACCCTTTTGGGGTAGGGGCGTGTTTGTTTTGGTGATTTCAAAACTAATGTCCAATTGCTTAATTTGTTACGAGTACATAATCATAGTAGTTTTGTCCCCTAATAAAGAAGTGAGAGGAAAGTCTAGCTGTTTGAATTCTAATTCTTTCCATTTTGCTTCATAATCGTCAATACACCAGCAAACTAGATATTTTAATTGTGCTGCTTTATAATAATCCCCCAAACAGAGAAGAGACAGTCCTACCCTTTCCTTTGGTAATTGTAGTGTTTTGAGTCTTACCCTGGGTTTCCGATTTTTCCATATAAATCTTGAGATCATTCGGTTCCAGTCATTAAATAGATTTTTTTGGTATCTCTACAGGTAGCAATAATCAAGGTAAAACATTCATCCTTATAATTTCTATTCGATTATACAAACTAAAAGTTAGAGGTGTCCAATTATCCAAGTCTGCTTTCAGTTCCTTCGTAATAAATCAGTTCCTTCGTAATAAATCCATAATTAGAAATATAAATTTTAGCCAAATTATTTGGTATGATAACCCCCAGGTATTTAATACTGTTTGTTTTCCCATTTAAAATTATATTTTTACAGATATTTTCCTGTGGTAAATAATTAAGAGAGGGTTTGGGTTTTGTGTAAATTTAGTTTATATCCTGAATACCAACCAAAGTGCTCAAGACAAGACATGAGTTTAGGTAAACTGGAATCTGGCTCGGAAATAGTCATAAGAATGTCATCCACATACAGGCATATTTTGTGTTTGGTTTCTTTCATTGGAATTCCTAGAATTTCTGTATCTTCTCTAATTGCCTGAGCTAATGGCTCTATGAATAGTGCAAAAAGCGTGGGACTCATGGGGCATCCCTGACGACATCCCCGTTCCAGTGTAATCGAGTTAGAAACATTACCATTTATTTTAATCTTGGCTGTTGGTAAATGATATAGCGGTTTAATACTTCTTATAACCTCTTCATTAAAGCCAAAACGTTGCAATACTAAATACAAAAACTCCCATTGCACCGAGTCGAAAGCTTTTTCCACGTCCAGGCTAATTGCCAGGGATTTGGAAGTATTTTTGCTCATGCTCTCGAACAAAAATAATGCACGTCTCACATTATCATGTGTCTGCCTACTTTTAACAAATCCAGTTTGGTCAGTATCAATCAAATCAGGAATTATATTTTCTAATCTTTTAACTATTATTGAAGCATATATTCTATAATCTATATTTAACACTGAAATAGGTCTGTATGCGCCACATTCTGTCTTATCTTTTCCAGCCTTTGGTATCACAGATATAACCCCCCTCCCCCCTTAAGAACATGGTTAAAACATTTTAGGAGCATGGGTTTCAATAATTCCCTAAATGTTTTATACCTCTCTGCTGGATATCCATCCCCTCCCGGTACTTTGTTTGCTTTTAGATTTGATATTGCACCATCTATTTCTGTTTCTGTGATTTCTTGTGTTACCAATTTGTTTTGTTTCATTCCTACCGATGGTCTAGAGATTCCAGAGATTCCAAAAAACGTTTTATAATTAAGGGGCTAGCTGTTGGGAGTATAGTTTCTTATAATATTTTTCAAAAGACTGTGATATTTCTTCTGTTTTATAACACATTACTTTGGTTTCAGGGTCTCTGATTTTAAAAATGGACCTCTCCATTTGTTGTTTATGGAGTTTCCGCACATGCTCAGTTTAAGCCATTTCTGGCCTCTCTCTATCGCTCTCTCCCACACACAGGCACATTCTCTTTTAGTACTCACCTTGCTGTGGGAGCAGGACTGATTGAGCAGGGTGATAGACTTGTTGAGTTTCTCTTGCTGTTGGGAGAGGTACTGCTGATAGAGTCCCAGCAGCTCCTGACACTCTCGGTACTGCTGCTGCAGGCCTGTGCCGCGGGTCAAGGGTCAACATGCACAGAATAACTCTGCCGCTTTCCCCACTTAGACTAAAACTCTCTCCCCTCCCAAGCCAGACATGGTAATCCATTTCCCCCACTGTAGTGTTGCCAACCTAATGCTGAGTAGGCAGGAGACTTTATACAGAAGGTATAAAATGAAAGAACCTCCCTCAGAGTAGTGCCCCAAAGGTAACCAGTAGCAGTAAAAGCAAGCTGTATGTCAAGTTAAATACTCAAACATTTTTTTTAAATGTCCAAAGTTGATGTTATCAAGCTTAAGATGATTTCTTGGTCTATATCAGTAGTTGAAAGATTTCCAAGTGGTCTGTGAGTCAACTGAGTGATTAAACAAACTGAGTGACTAAAAAAAATAAATAAATGAAAAAAATATATAAAAGGTAATTTTTACAGTATTTAAAACCGCATGTTCTGAGAAAGCTGGCGGTTTCCCTAAGATTTGGGGTGTTATGCAGATGGCTAGGCAAATTTGTTTGGACGCAATTCATTTATAACTTTTTTCAGATCTGAAAAAAATCTGAATTGGTATCATGCAGTTTTGGTGAGAAAAAAAGCGGTTCAAATTGAAATAAAATAATTGACAAAAAGTACCAACCCTGAATATGGTATAAAACCACAGTAATTCATGTAGTATTTAAAAATGCAGGTTATCATTTAGAAAAAGCTAAGTGGTTTTTCTAAGATTGTGTTTTTTGTTTTGTTTTTTGTTTGTTTGTTTTTTTACAGATTGCCATGCTAATTTGTTTTTATGCAATTCATTTATCATCTGAACTTTTTTCAGAAAATACAGAGAAAAAAAAATGCTATCAAAGTTTCGGTGAAAAAAAAAAAAAAGTCAAAATACAACTGGAAGGGTACAATCTAAACATCCTAAAATAAAAATTTAAATTGAATAACATAGGGCATAACAGGAAAAGCTACAAAGAACTGGCATTAAAAATGTCTCCCACAGAGAGCTCGGTTGCCCAGTGTCCTTATATCAAAACGAGGAGGAGACTGGTTGTACTTCTTCTCTGGCTCCTGACATCTCAGTCTCTCTGGCTGAATCCCAGCCACCAATACCTGGAGTCATGTTTGTGACTTTCTGAAAAAGTGCACAGACAGAGAAGAAAGTGAGAAGAAACAGCAGCACCACTGAGAAAACATAGAAGTGTTTCTTCGGGCGAGGGCTTCACACACTCCTCCATCTGGGTCTGGCTGGGCAGGATGCCAGGTTATGAGACAGAGAGAGCTGGCACACATGCAGCATTGGGCAGAACTCAACTGATCTGGAGCATAACCACAGCCACGGCGACTGTGCCGACTAATGAAAGCGTGACGTACGCTCGCTTACTCTCACACGCTCTGCAGAAATCTATTCGGTAGATCTAATTTTCCAACGTGGAAAGCAATAATGGAAAGCGACTTTTTTGGTCTTTCTTAATAATCAGCCTGGCTGTAGAGCACAACCCGCTCAGCGATCATCATAATACCTCAAGGCCCAGGAACTCCAGAGGGACAACACAGATCAAACTGACTGAAAGTTAGAACGTTACAGAGATTATTTATAGTCCTCATATCTCCGTTATTACAATGTCAATACGCACTAAATCCAGCCTCTGCTCAACAGCCTCTCAATCCAATACCCATTAAGATAAGCGTGGTAAATCTTACCTTAAAACAAAGGCTATTATTAAAATCTCCAGAATACTGCACAATGGAAAAAGAAAATGGAACTTCACAAATACAAACTTAACCCACAAGAGGCCATGCACTAGTGAGTCTTACCATGGTAAAAGGGGGGTGTCAATGTGAAGCTGTATAATTACAGTGGCTTATTGGTTTAAGAAAGAACCAGGACACTAATGTCCAATAAATGATTTAAAGGGGTCATATGAGGTTGCTAAAAAAGAACATTATTTTGTGTTTTTGGTGTAATGAAATGTGTTTATGCGGTTTAAGGTTAAAAAAACATTATTTTCCACATACTATACATCATTGTTTTTCCTCTATGCCCCGCCTTTCTGAAACGCGTCGATTTTTACAAAGCTCATCGTTCTGAAAAGCGAGGTGTGCTCTAATTGGCCAGTTATCTAGTGCGTTGTGACTGGCCGAATTCCTCAAGCGTGTGACGGAAATGTTACGCCCCTTACAGGTTTGAATCATATTTCTGTATTCAAAATTTTATATTTAAAACATTCATCTCCACATGAATTTAATTGCACTCATGCAACCTCTGAGCCTCATTAAACATCTGAAAATGTACCTACAAACGTTTGAATAGTCAGTGGCAAATCCTTTAAAAATAAAAGTTACACCTTCTTTCTTTGCGTGAACATTTGGGCGGCGTTATGCAAATCTTCCACACAGTGACGTAGACGTGGGGGCGTGTTTAAACGAGGCGTTTTAGGAGGGCGTGGACGAGTCTTAACTGTTATAAAGAAATTCTCGTTGGGTTTGAGACTTTAGTCTTTGCAACTTTAGGGATCATATCTATTCACGAACAGCTGGTAACACTCCAACGAGAAAGGAAAACTTGAAATCGCATCATATGACCCCTTTAAGTAATATAGTATTTGTATTTATAGTATTTATAATAATCTCTTCACAGTTGCCAAGCAATATGGTGCATTAATGGAACCGTTTACCAAAGGACGAAAACTAATCATTTACTTTCATCATATACTCACCCATGTTATTTCAGACCTACATGACTTTTTCTTTGCAGAACACCTTTTTTTGTCCATACAAAGAAAGTCAATGGGGTCCAGTGTTGTCTTGAAATATCCTCTTTTGCGTTCTACAGAAGAAAGTCATATGGGTCATAGAGGCTCTTCAGTTTGTTTTGTTGCATGCTATTGCTTGCATCTTGGTAACATTTTGCTAAATTATATACTACTTTCAGTATTCAAACGTACATGTGAATTTGTTATATAAAAAATTTGATTGACTGATATCAGTGATTCAGTGCTGTCAGTTTGAATGAGAAGCAAATCTGTAATTAAAGGGGTCCTATTATGCTCTTTTACAAAGTCTTGATTTTGTTTTGGGGGTGTACTAGAACATGCTCTCATGCTTGGTGGTTCGAAAAACGCATTATTTTTCACATAATTTACATTATTAAAATACCTTTCTCCCCATCCTGGCACAAACGGCTCGATTAGTTCCTGCTTTGATGAAGGTCTGCCTTCCGAAAAACAAAATGTGTTGTGATTGGTTAGCTGTCCCAGTGCGTTGTGATTGGCGAACAGCTTAGACGGTGTTTCATTACTGCCACGCCCCTTACTCCATCTTTCAACAAAAACTTTTTGGCGAATCCGGCACTGTTCTCCCTTGTGCTGTGGAAGCTGTCCTCAGTAAAATGCGCAGCACACAATAGCAAATTGGGGTTATAATGCTCAGGAACAGAGTTAAAAAATAAATTGCAACCACTGTTTCCTGACATCATCCGCTTTCGGAAGCCCAAACA